TCCCTCCTCTCTCTCCCTCCTCTCTTTTCCCTCCTCTCTTTCCCTCCTCTCTTTTCCCTCCTCTCTCTCCCTCCTCTCTTTTCCCTCCTCTCTTTTCCCTCCTCTCTTTCCCGGTGTCTGTGGGCGTGATTTGAGGCCCAAAGGGGAGATCCTTCCACATAGATCCGATCCAGCTGCACACGGAACAGAAACCCCCCCAAACCGTGAGCTAAAAACTGCCCCGAAAAGCTCAAAACTGCAGCTCAAACTGCCCCGAAAGGCTTTAAAAAAGGGCGGATTTTGGTCGTTTTCTGGCAGGAATCGGTGGGATTTGCCTGACCTGGAGGTTAGGTGGACTCTGGTCTGTGTTCGGGTCTTTAAAGGGAGGGGGGGGGGGGCTTTTAGAAACAGAGAGATGGCCACGGGAGAAATCACCACCCTGCCCTCAGCTCCTGAAGCCCCCGGGAGTTTTAAGGATCCAAAGAGGCTTTACTGTAAAAACGGGGGGTTCTTCCTCAGGTTGAGGCCCGACGGGGGAGTGGACGGGATCCGGGAGAAAAACGACCCCCACAGTAAGTCTCACAAAGCTGCTTTATTCCCCGTTCCCTTTCCAACGGGGAGCAGGGACCCAGAGGAGAGGCTAAAAGGGAAAAAAACAGGCAGGACGGTGTATGTTTTTCCAGTTTACTGAGGTTTTATTCTCCATTTATTAACCCTAAAATGCCAAATGTGTCGTATTTGTTTCGTACGGTTTCTGAAATCTTTTGGATCTGAGACTTTCTGCATCATTCAGTGGTAAAAGCTTTGCTCAAACCCCTGTTGTACACATTCAGATATACCTGATAACAGCCAGTAGAAGACCACACCAACATAGATTTATGACTTATTGCACACTAATTTGATCAAAATAATTTCCGTTTTTTTTCTTCATGTGTTGTTGAGGGGCCAAAGAAAGACTTCAGACTAAAAAAAATCCAATATTCTTCCTATTTTTCTGGGATCAGGCTTTAAAGGGTTAACACCAGAAGCTCTATGAGACTACACCAACCTCTGGAAATCGTAATAACTCCGGTTCCACATGCGTAAACCTCAGATTTTCTAAATCCCGATGGAATATACGTGATGTTTTTTAGTAAACCTGTTGGACGTGGTGAGTCACAGCCAGTCTGGGAGCTTCCTGTTCCACAAGAAAGCACAAAAAGTTAATAACCAACTCAGGTTTATCGGTTTTGGACATGTCGGTTAAGCTAAACTGGCTGTGATTAACAGGAATATCACAGGCGGAAGGCCTCATATCTGCACCAATCAGATGTGGGATTATTAAAGTATTTCTGATTCTGATAAAAAGGAACGAGGAAGCTCAGAGGAAAAAATTTTGGGTTTGATTTCTGCTGTACTGAACATGAGACTCCATCTTTATTGTGTTTGTGTCTCTATCAGTCGTTTCTCTCTCAGATTATAATGAGTTGTGACTCTATTTTTTCGAGAGGTAGGAAGACCAAATGGATTTAACCCTTTAAAGCCCGGTCCAAGAATATATCAAAACAGAAAATGTACTTTTTTTTTGTTTGAATTCCTTATTTGGCCTTTAACAAAATATCCAAAAAGAAAAAACAGAAATACATTTTTGATATTAATAATTTATTACTATGCGATAAGTCAATATTATTTTTTGTGTGGTCTTCTGCCCCCTGTTATCAGGTGTATCTGATTGTGTACAATAGGATTTTGAGCAAAGTTTTTACCATTAAATTATGCAAAAGGTGTCAGACGCAAAACATTTCAGAAACCGTATGAATCAAATATGATACATTTAGCATTACAGGGTTAAAACCTACTTCATCTGTCAGACCCACCACAGATATTTACTTTGAGTTAAACTTCTCTTTGATCTAATGAGTCTAATGACTCCTAATGACTTTTCTCTTAACTGGAGACAGACGTTCTGTTTGAAATCTCAAACTCAGAACAGACCTGATGGTGTCCTTTTAATGGCCTTAATTCAGGAAAGCAGCATCTATAATAACAAGATAAATAAGAGATGGAAAAGATTTTAAAGTAAAAGATTTAATTATCTAATGATCCTATTTAAACCAGCTCATTCCTCAGTGATGCTGGAAGTTGGGCAACGTCCACCAACAGGTTTAAGTTAATGAGAATTTAAGTTAATGTTTGGATTTACAGAAAAACATTTGGGCTAACTGGATGGCACCTAGCAAAAATGACCGATAATTATCTTTAGGCCAAATCAAATAACATTATAGTTTTATAGTTTTATTCCAACCACAATCTCAGACTTATCAAAATGGATGAAAGCCCAAAACCTCCAGCTGAATCTGTCAAATATATATAAAGTAAGGTGGACACTTGGGTGTTGTGACCTTTGACCTCTCCTGTTTCCTCTAACAGAGTCTGACAGTGACTTTATTCCGGGTTGCTAATCCTCAGGTTGCTAATCGGATGCTAACTAATGTTGTGTTCTGCTAAATGCATAAAAATGCTTTTCTACCTGACACAAATCCAATA